CGTCGCCAGCCCGCTCCGCGCACTCCGCACCTCAGAATTTGACTTCAGCACTGCGCCTCCTCTGAGTGTCCGTATGCGTTACTCTTTCCTCCTAGTTGTAGAACTTCCACTCAGCCAGTGTTCCTGTGGTTTTGGATGGTGTCCGTTCTGTCTTTTAGTTTCACTTTTGAAATGGTTGTTCGAGGCAGCAAACTCCGGCGTTAACCTATGCCGCCATCTTGGTTCTCCAAATTTATTTTCTTAATTACATTTGGGTCACACTTTAGAATCTAATTTGCGTCTTAGTCTAGTTTTGACGTATTCAGGGTTTGTAAAGAAAAGCCATTACAGTATATAAAACTGTTGTGAATAATCTACAGGTGGAGTACAATAAAGAGACTATGCTGAAGATATCAGTATTAGTCTATGTAGCTATTTACAATCTCTCATATCTACTTGAGAAAATGAAGAAATATTTTACTGGCTTGCCTTGTAATGTTGGACTATGAGCTATATAGTATATAACCCTAAACTCTAAATTCATTCTGATGGAATCTCTAGCCCATAAGATTTTCGAACTATTCAATTTTTAATTTCTTATAACTTTAGCTTTAATCAATGTCAGATTCCTTTAATATAAGTCAGCACAATATCTAGCTCCTTCCTTTTTGGTCAGGAAGGCTCTATCTTGCTAGGCTCTTTTAATCATACTCCGGGGGGTGGAAGGGAATGGAGTTCTCATTTCCAATGGGATAGGTCTGTGTCTTCACAGTTTGTGCTGTTTGCTCTTTTCTAGCAATTGCTTCTTTTTCTTATAGCACCCTTCAAAACCAAAGGTGGCAGGGGAATATCTAGTTGCAGGAAGTAAGAGTGGGGTACACAGTTTCTAGCAGACTGACAGCAATGCCACCTTCCACATACATCTTCCAATTGGGTTATTAATCCATCATTTATTAATCAATTTCCATCTCTGGGTCTGGATTTGGAAGCTATGGAGAGTGACTCAAGTAGCAATAAGGAGAAATTAGAAAGCTATGATAGCCTGGCTGGTGTGGCTCAGTGGTTGAGCATTGACCTATAAATCAGGAGGTCACGGTTCGATTCCCTGTGAGGCCATATGCTCAACCCCCAGTGTAGGGCATGCAGGAGGTGGCCAATCAATGATTCTCATCATTGATGTTTCTCTCTCTCTCCTTCTCCTTTCCTTGCTAAAATCAATAAAAATATATTTAAAAAGAAAGATATTATCTATCTGCTGTGAGAGGGTCCTGCCTACGATCTTTCCTCTTTAATACTGAGGAGACTGAAATATCTCTCCTGTACTCTCTTCAAAAAGAGGAATAATTTGGTAACTTACAATTAATTGTTCTTTCCATTTCCACAAATGTACTCAAATATTTGATTGATATTATTTGGAGGGGAAAAATTATTATAAAAACATCTAAGGTATACTTTCTATGAGTACGCATAGTTATTTATTTGTTTTTTTAAAATATATTTTTATTGATTTTTTAGAGAGGAGGGGAGAGGGATAGAGAATTAGAAACATCAATGAGAGAGAAACATCGATCAGCTGCCTCTTGCACGCCCCCTACTGGGGATGTGCCCACAACCAAGGTACATGCCCTTGACCGGAATTGAACCTGGGACCCTTGAGTCTGCAGGCTGACGCTCTATCCGCTGAGCCAAACCGGTTAGGGCCGCATAGTTATTTTTAAAAAAATATATATTTTTATTGATTTCAGAGACGAAGGAAGAGGGAGAGATAGAAACATCAATGATGAGAAAGAATCATTGATCAACTGCCTCCTGCATGCACACTAGGGATCGAGCCTGCAACCTGAGTATGTGCCCTGACTGGGAATTGAACTGTGACCTCCTGGTTCATAGGTCAATGCTCAACCACTGAGTCAGGCCGGCAGGGCATGAATATCCTTAGCTCTAAGAGTAATAAGTATTTATTTACTAGATTATTTTGTCAATGACCACTCATATTTAACTATAGAAATTGGAAATTTATTATAGAAAGGAAATACACGTCATGAGATTCCAAAGCATCCCCCAAAATAAAATAGTTCAATAATTAAAAATAATATTTTTTAGTAACCAGAACTCAGAATGAAAACATTTTCAGCTTTCAGTCTTCACCTTGAACATAACAGTTCTAATGAACAGTACCTATCTTGCTTCCTACCTCTTGGTTAAATAGTGTCATCTTCCTGAAGATATATGCAGTATTTCCTTCTTCTGAGTGGCAGGTGACTTGGTAGCATCCATAGGATGAACTTCCTGTGGGCTCTGGCCAATACTGGTGGCACTTCACCTAAAATCAATTGATTAAAAATATATATATTAAAAATTATGATATTTTAGTATAATTTTCAAACTTAAGAAAAGTTACAAGAAAAATTTAATAAACTCTCATACATGCTGCACCTAGTTCTGTCAACTATTAACATTTCTTTGTCATTTTTTTCTCTTTGTAATAACCTGTTTGGATATATTTTGAGACTGCAAATATCCTGTATACAATAAGCTTTCACTTAGTGTTTTACCATGTGTGATGAATTCTTGCCTGAGTCAATTATTACTATGAGAATGGCAAAATGCTGCACTAATTTTAATCTTTTTAGATTTAAGTTAACAATCTTCAACTAAAATGCCAAATGCAATCCATTTATTTTCACAATTAGATTTAAAAAACAACAACAGCTTTCTTGATATATAACTCACCCATTTAAACTACACAATTCAGCTTCCAGTGAAGATGGCAGTATAGGTAAATGCTGTGCTCACTTCCTCCCACAACTACATCAAAATTACAACTAAATTACAAAACAACTTCCATTCAGAACTGCCTGAAGCCTAGCTGAACTAAAGTCCTATAACTAAGGATATACAGACGCCATGTCTAGACTAAGGATATACAGACGCCATGTCTAGACTGGTAGTGCCATACCCACGTGTAACAGTTAAAAATCAGGAGGGATATGGGGGCTGTGGAGGGGCCCCCTGAGGAGCAAGGAGTGCCAGCGCCACACCAAGCCCCTGACCAATGTTTCAGTACTAGGAAGTGAAGTCCCCTTAACTTTTCCCTGTGAAAACCAGCAGGGATTGTGGTTGAGTAAGACAGAGAGAGAGGCTGCTGGAATCCCAGGCATTCCTCTTTTTTAAAAATTTAAGTTGACTTAATTTTTTCTATCACCAGGCGTTCCTCTTAAAGGGGCCATACAGAGACTTACTTGGACTCACAGCAGCTTGAAAGGCACCAGGGACACAAAGGGAAAAACTGCATGGTCCAGTGAGGGCTGGAAGGGAGCTTTCTCCCAGCTAGAAGTGCTGGCAGAGATCCTCGTTTCTTTACTGAGCCTTCCCTCCATAGAGCCAGAAGGTGGATGCCATATCTGAGTCTCCATCAACCTGGCTAACACTGTTGTGACTCTATGAGACCACCCCACCCAACCTGTGGGCCCACCCAATCTCTTTCCAGTGCCTTTTCTATATAAACAATTTTCCCAAAATCTCTCAAACAAGCAGCATCTGGCCTCAGTGTGCCCCGTACCTCTTGCAAAGTGGCCCCAGTCCTAGCACTCGAGGCAGCCTGCCTTGGTTAGCAGCTTGGCATCTCCTGGGCACCTCTAAACTCAGGACAAATAGTAGCCAACTGCAAATCACTATGTGCTCAGGTCTGGTGACGCCAGGCAGGGCATAGGTGGCACCCGGTGAACAGCTTCAGAAAACGTCCAAGCACCACCATACAACCACCTCCACAAGTGACACACACAAGGGGCGGATCCAGCAGGCATCAGAGCCCTGCTGTAAAGTCCTGCTCTGTGGGGTCTGCCCCTGCACAGCTGATCCTGCAAGGCAGTCATAGTGAGTCCTTGCAGCCAAGTGGCCTGGGTGTAAATCCTCCCTTTGAAGTGCCAACAGCAATCAAGGTTCAACTACAAGAGGAGGGTGTACTTAGCCCGCATGGGGGACCCACCTGGAGCAGGTTGGATGACCAGGAAGGCCATGTCATTGGGCCCTACAAGACACCTATTACTGGTATATATGGCTAATCTACGAAGCCTGGGAGACAGCCCTACTTAATACATGGAAACAAACACAGGGAGGCAGCCAAAATGAGGATACAAAGGAACATGTCCCAAATGAAGGAACAGAATAAAACTCCAGAAAGAGAACGAAACAAATCGAAGACAATCTGTTGGAAGTAGAGTTCAAAACAACTGGCTATAAGGGGGCTCAATGAACTTAGGGGAAGAGTAGATGAACTTAGTGAGAACTTCAACAAATAAATAGGAAATATAAAATGGAGATAAAAACATAAAAATGGAGATAGAAAGCACAAAAAAGCACTAATCAGAAATGAAGAATACAACAACTGAAATAAAGAATACATTACAGGGGGCTCTGGCAGGTAATTCAGTTGGTTGTCCTGATATGTCAAGGTTGATCCTGGTCATGGCACATACAAGAATCAACCAATGAATGTATAAAATCAATCAATCAATACAGGATAGATAAAGCAGAGGATCAAATCAGTGATTTGGCAGGTAAGGAAGCAGAAAACACCCAGTCAGAACAGAAAGAAAAAAAAAATCCAAAAAATGAGGACAGTATAAGAAGCTTCTGGGACAATTTCGAGTGTACCAACATTAGAATCATGGGGGTACCAGAAGGAGAAGAAAAGAGCAAGAACTCGAAACCTATTTGAAAAAAGTAACGACAGAAAACTACCTTAACCCAATGAAGGAAGCAGATATACAAGTCTTGGAAGCCCAGAGAGTTACATACAAGATGAACCCAAAGAAGCCTCAACCAAGACACATCATTAAAATGCCAAAGGTTGCCCTGGCTGGTGTGGCTTGGTTGGTTGGAGAGTAGTCCTATACACCAAGAGGTTGTGGGTTCAATCCCTGATAGAGGTGTGTGCAGGGAGTATAGCGGGGGGCAATCAATTGATGTTTCTTTCTCACATTGATGTTTCTCGCTCCCTCTCTCATTAATAACAACAATAACAAAAAAAGCCAAAGGTTAAAGACAAAGAGACATTCTTGAAAGCAGCATGAGGAAAGTAATTAGTTACTTACAAGGGAGCTCACATAAGACTGTCAGCTGATTTCTTAACAGAAACTTTGCAGACCAGAAGGGATTGGCAAGAAATATTGAAACTGATGAGAAGAAGGACCTATAACCAAGATTACTCAGCAAAACTATCATTAAGAATTGAAAAAGAGATAAAAGAGCTTCCCAGATAAGAAAAAGCTAAAGAAATTCATCACCACCAAACCAGTATTACAAGAAATGTTCAAGGGTCTTCTCTAAAAGAAGGGGAAAAAATACATAAAAATTATGAACAAAAATGGCAATAAATATCCATCAACAATTACTTTAAATGCAAATGGATTAAATGCTTCAAACAAAACACATATGGTGTCTGAATGGATAAACAATACAAGACCATTATATACGCTGTCTACAAAAGACTCACTTCAGATCAAAAGACACACACAGGCTGAAAATAAAAGGATGGAAAAGGACATTTCATAAAAATGGAAATAAAAAGAAAAGCTGGGGCAACAATATTTATACCAGACAAAATATACTTTTAAAAAAAGGCTATAACAAGAGACAGGGAGGGACCCAGCAATTCCACTTACGGGTATTTATCTGAAGAAACATAAAACACAAAATTGAAAAGACATATATGTTCACTGAAACATTATTTACAATAGCCAAGATATGGAAGCAACCAAGTTGTTCATCAATAGATTAATGGATAAAGAAGAAGAACTGGATATATACGATGGACTATGATTCAGGCATAAAAAAGAATAAAACTTTGCCACCTGCAACAACATGGATGGACCTAGAGCAAACATATACGTATATATATATACTTTTTACTTTAAAAAAGGAACGCTTCACGAATTTGCGTGTCATCCTTGCAGAGGGGCCATGCCAATCTTCTCTGTATCCTTCCAATTTTAGTATATGTGCTGCCGAAGCAAGCACAGACTTACCGTATTTGCCGGCGTATAAGACGACTGGGCGTATAAGACGACCCCCTAACATTTCCACTCAAAATACAGTTTGTTATACACTCGCCGTATAAGACTACCCCCCAAGGTCACCTCTCCAAACACACCAAATAAAAGGTAAAACAATATCAGATTTGATTTTAACATTTTAATTTATATTCAAATGCTTATGACATGCAGGAAAACTGTCACAAGGCTGTATGTAATCAAACATATACATAAAACAGTGCAAGTTTATTACCGGTAAACATACCGGTAATTCACTAAAGAAAACACACTCTATAGACTGGTACCGTAGATGCTTCTCAGGAACACAGGCAAGCAGCCCACAACCTAGAGGGACTGTCAATGATAGAAGAAAGAT